ATTAACTTAAATTGGCCCTACCCTTAATCTAATTTTGTCAATTTCACAATTTCAGTTTTTTTACCGTAACTTCAGATTTTCGAACATAAACCACTCTGGAGATTTTCTTAATAGATGTGCCAATGTCTTCTCTACAACACCTATATAGTCGTTGCCCGTCACAATCCCTTTAAAATGGTCCAAATTTTTCTTTTAGTGCCCTACCCCCCTAATCTCATTTTGTCAATTTCACAATAACATTTTGAGTTTTTTAACCGTAACTCCACATTTTCGAACATAAACCACTCTGGAGATTTTCTTAAACGATGCACCATTGTCTCCTCTACAACACTTATATAGTCGTTGCCCGTCACAATCTCTTGAAATTGGTCAAAAAATTAACTTAAATTGCACAACCCCCCTAATCTCATTTTGTCAATTTCACAATAGCTGTTTTTTAACCGTAACTTCAGATTTTCGAACATAAACCACTCTGGAGATTTTCTTAAACGATGCGCCAATGTCTCCTCTACAACACCTATATAGTCGGTGCCCATCACAATCTCCTGAAATTGATCCAAGATTAACTTTAATTGGCCTACGCCCCTAATCTCATTTTGTCAATTTCACAATTTTAAGTTTTTTAACCGTTACTTCAGATTTTCGAACATAAACCACTCTGGAGATTTTCCTAAACGATGCGCCAATGTCTCCTCTACAACACGTATATAGTCGTTGCCAGTCACAATCTCTTGAAATTGGTCCAAAATTAACTTAAATTGGCCTACCCCCTAATCTCATTTTGTCAATTTCACAATTTCTGTTTTTAAACCGTAACTTCAGATTTTCGAACATAAACCACTCTGAAGATTTTCCTAAACGATGCGCCAATGTCTCCTCTACAACACCTACATAGTCGTTGCCCGTGACGGTCTGTTAAAATTGGTCCAAAATTAACATTAATTGGCCTAATTTTTCTTTTAGTGCCCTACCCCCTAATCTCATTTTGTCAATTTCACAATAAAATTTTCAGTTTTATAACCGTAACTTCAGATTTTCGAACATAAACTGATCTGGATTTTTTTTCTACACGATGCGCCAATGTCTCCTCTACAACACCTATATAGTCGTTACCCGTCACGATCTCTATAAATTGGTTCAACATTAACTTTTAGTGCCCTACCCCCCTAATCTCATTTTGTCAATTTCAGTTTTTTTACTTTAGATTTTCGAACATAAACCACTCTGGAGATTTTCCTAAACGATGCGGCAATGTCTCCTCTAAAACACCTATATAGTTGTTGCCTGTAACAATCTATTCAAATTGGTAAAAAATTTACTTAAAATGTCCAATACCCTAATTTCATTTTGTTAATTTCAGTTTTTTTCTACCACAATCTAAGATTTAGGAACATAAACCACTCTGGAGATTTTCCTAAACGATGCAGCACTATCTCCTCTGAAACACATATATAGTCGTAACCTATCACAATCTCTATTAATCGGACCAAACAGCGTAAAGTGCACGTGCACCCCCATTCCCTAAAAATGCATTGTGTCAATGTGTTAACTTATGGTCATTGTAATCCAGCTGTCTATTGAATGCCTTTTGTGGATTTATTTAGTTAGGAAAGAAAAGCTTCGTATTCTTTATATATGAAGTATGGTTTTCCTTTTGTTTTAAGTTAGTTTTTTCGTTTTTGTTTAAGACTGTATGTATTCTCATAATTGTTCGCTAGCTCGAAAAATCGTGATAACCTTATGTGATATTGTGGTTTTTAGTTATACCTCCTAATTGTTCGCTAGCTAATTGTTCGCTAGCTTGAGTCAGGTACATGGGCAACAGTTAAAACTTATTTTTTTAATAAACTATAAATGAAATTATTTACAAAGTTCCGACTTTAAATATATAAATCTTAATCAACTTGACGACCCTATGAAGGATCACAATTTCGAATTAGATTTAGTATAAAAATAAGGAGATGCGGTATGATCGCCAATGAGATAACTATCTAGGTCGATATAATGTCCATTTTTATAAATTTTTATTACGAATGAATAAAAATGATCATGTTTTTTGTCATATTATATAAAATGTATTGTGTAGTATCACTTAACCCGTTACTCTGTTTTCTTGTATGCAATATAGTTTCGATAATATCAGAAAAAGCTCTGTCGATCTAGAATTAAGTATAATAAATTTTACATTATTAAATGCGATTGAAAAAAATAATTGAACTTCCTAGATTCTAAGATGCGCGTGTTATTTTATTTGAAACAAGTACATTTAAAATGTTACGACCTTATTTTTGACCCGACTAGACAAGAAATCATCGTTCGTAATAGCAGAGAATAAGATGGATGAAGATGAAAAAAGCAGCAGAATTCCATTATGAAATTTTAAAAAAGGCACGTACGTTTTGTCTTGGATTCGTGATTTTTTTTATTAGTTGTTATTCACTAGTTTCCTGTAAATGTGAGTACTCACAGGTCGGTTATTAGGCCTTTTTATGTTACTTGATTATTTTGCTTTGTATCGATCTGATGAGTAAAGTCCTTTTTATTTTTATATTTTGTTCTTCTTTGTTGTGCTGTTACACCACTGTCCAGGTTAAGGCGAGGAGAGGATTGGGAGCCTGCAAACATATATAACCCCGCCATATTCTGTATATGCCTGGCCCAATCCAGGAGTCTGTGAATGCAGTGGCTGTCGTTTGTAACAGTTACTGTATATCATATTTGTTTTTCGCTTATTGTTTTGAATTTAAATCAGGCCGTTGGTTTTCTCATTGGAATTGCTTTACTTTCAATTTGTCGGAGCCTTTTATAGCTTGCTAAGAGGTATGGGATTTGTTTATTGTTGAAGGCCGTACAGCGACCTATAGTTAATAACATCTACTGACGTCATTTGGTCTCGGGTGGCTAGTTGTCTCATTTGCAATCATGCTGCATCTACTTATTATGTATTACTATGTGCTTTCTTATGTCTTTTTGTATTCCAAATAAAACTACTTTTATAGAAAATTGCCATTGAAATGCATAAATATACTATCTTCGTGATTTCTTTATACATGCGTGTTCTATAAACATGATAATGATAACTATAATTATGATAATATCTTAAATTTACTGTAGACGACTTATTTTCTCGAGCGATGTATTTTCGTGATTACAAGATCAACGTAAATATGTGAAACTTTCAATAGTTGGATAATGTCTATTGATATTTATCGTTACTCTCCAATCATCATGATCATTCAGAACAAGAATCACAGAACCGAACCATGTCGAACATTAACTAAACTATTACACTACTGAACCAAGCCATGACACCGAATTTTCAGTAATCGTAATGTGTGTGTGCAAATGTTGCTATTTTTCGGAATAATTGACGGCAGTTTTATATCATAACGAAATATGTGATATAACAGACAGTAAAACATCACTTTTTTATGTAAGAGAAACGAATAAGCAACTTTTAAATTTTGGCATGCGCAAGCATTATTCTGTGTCAAATTATTAACTACATGTATATGATTATGATACAAATGTTAATGTACTCGCATATTAGCTATAAACAAAGATACTTATCAGCTTGAATTTATGTTCAGAAGTTCCTTTAGCAAAACAATCCGAATGTTTATATTGTGTCATTGTTTGTCATTAAAAACACTTAACACAATCAAGTCCAAATTAACCAAACTATCACAAAATCACTGTACTAAACGCTCATCGATATGATGACGTTACTACCCGAGACTTTTTGTGATTTTAAAAATGACTTATAGACCTAATGCGTCGGTTGTAGTTAATTGCATGGCAAGTTGTTATTATACGTATTATCATAATAAAAAAATACCTACTTATACTTACTTACTTATTTACTATAATAAATAATAATTTACTTACTTACTTACTTACTTACTTACTTACTTACTTACTTACTACTTACTACTTACTTACTTACTTACTTACTTACTTACTTACTTACGTACTTACTTACTTACTTACGTCCTTACTTATTTATTTACTTACTTACTTATTTACTATAATAAATAATTTACTTACTTACTTACTTACTTATTACTTATTTACTAACTTACTTACTTACTTAATTATTTACCTGCTCACTTACTTACTTACTTACGTCCTAACTTATTTATTTACTTACTTTTTGACTATAATAAATAATTTACTTACTTATTTACTTACTTATTACTTACTACTTGCTTACTTACTTATTTATTTACCTACTTACTTACTTACATACTTACTTACTTACTTATCACTATAACAAATAATTTACTTATTTACTTACTCGCTCATTCACTCACTCACTCACTTACTTAATTGCTTACTTACTCACTTACTTATTTTCCTACTTACTTACTTACTTACTTACTTGTCACTATAATAAATAATTTACTCACTCACTCACTTTCTCACCTACTTATATTCATTCATATTTTTAAAAACTAATTATGAAAATTTCTTGACGTACATTATTGATCATTATTGTAGTACAATGTAACCATATTAAATGATAAACTTTAATTCTAGTGTGAAAGTTATGATTTTTTTTACACCAGTTTCACCAGTCAAAAACATAAAAATAACACACTTTCAATGGGTTCAAAAATTGATAAGATTGTCATTGTTATATTCCTAGAAAATAGAAAGTTTTCAATAACGAAAGTTTAAATTTCGACTAACACGTTTTCCCTTGTGACCCACCGGAAATACGATATTGATTGTAAACATGTTATTTTCATTTTTGATATATTTCTTTTGAACATTATTCTTTTACATATATGAAACATCATAATTATATAATTCATTTAATTATTAATATAGCTGAAAGCTAGATAAACGAACACATACGTTATTTCTATATTTAAAACGATACTTTGAAATAGCGAATGATGATATTAAAGTCCTATTCCGATTGGCCAGATAAAAATAACTACTGTAAAAATATCAATATGCGTCATGGTGATTCCCAGCGGTTTGTATATAAACAAATGCGGGTAGAAGGTATTTCATCACTCAACTGAAATTCATGTAAAAAGACAAGGGACCATACCGCTAGACCACCGAGCCAAACCCAAAATGATCAACAACCCACCACGCCACCGTAAGCACCGACGAGGGTCGTCCAAAATGATGTGGAATTCCTCGCGACATCGTTTTTTCTCCAACTCGCCTCACCATCGGGTCTCCCCTAAATGCCGGCCTCAACAAGAAGAGTGGGATATTTTACCGATCCACATCTGTGCATGGGGAAGTGAGCTTGACGGCAGGAAGAAAACAAGATACATTTAAGTTTCAGTTTGAACCATTTAATATGTATATAGGAGAAAATTTCAATGTTCATTTTCATGAAAATTTCAATTTTTGGAAATTCTTAGAAGATAATTCAACAGGCGGACTGATACATTCAGATTTCATCCCAAATAAGAAATTCACAGAAATGATGATTTCAAATTCTGCCAAGCGGATCCGAGACGTGCCAAATGCAGGCGGAAATTCTGTTATATCAGAAGTGTTATCTTTCGAGTTCCTCAATAAGGCATGCCAGGCTGAATTACTGAAGGTAAATAATCTACGAAGTCTAGAAAATTAATAAGTTTTATCAATACATATATAGTCATGATATATACACAAAATAATTAAATGTTACTCGATATGAATGATTCTGGTTGCATACATAACATTCCCCTATTTGAGTTTTCAAAAAAAAAGGCTGAAACCTTTATCCAATTTTCACAGCCATAATTAAATTTTGTATGATATAAAGTATAATTGATAGTAATTTGATACTTGTAATTTTTCATGTCTGGTCATAATTTTCGTAATCGAAACTCACATAAATAAATAATTATATATACTGATATAGAAGAATTCCCTCGACATTTTAAGATTAGACTCGTTATTATCAATATATTTGAAATATTACATGTCCGGAAGATATTTGGATTTATTTATATTTATTTAGTATATCTTTATTCTAATTGCTGACCTTTAATTCCCTGAGCACTTGAGTTCACATGGTCTTTTTGGTGGAATTCATGTTCCTCAATCTTAGTTTATTGGTTTGTGTTTTCTTGACTTTTTTTTTTTCTTTTTGTAAGTATTTACTGTGATTATTTTTTGTCCCATTGGTATATCTCATCGTCTTTCTTTTTTAACTATGTTGTCGAACTATTATTTACTTCTATTGTATTTTTTCCAGACCGAGATGGAAGTTAGTTATTTTCCAGAAGGAGGTTCAATAACTGACTACGTATGTAAAATTTTCGACAAGAAAGTGGGCGTGTCCGTAACCAGGGCAATGAAGTACAGAGGGCAATACACAGAAGAAGACGCCCACCATTTACTGACTAAAAAACTAAAAGGTAAGTAAGACTAGAAATTTTGTAGAAAAATAAAAATTCTTAAGCTGTTTTCTACTCTTTGGTCGAATTGTTGTCACTTTGACACATTCACCGTTTCCATTCTCAGTTCTATTCAACTGACTTTACAGGAATTTTGCTGCAAACATAAACCTAAGATTTCCAACAATTTTTTTGGCATAGAAATGCAGAAAAAATTCTTCTATACTCTCGGCTTGATTTTTTCCATCGCAGATCCCTGGATCTGTCCCTGACAGTATGCACACAATGAATTCAATTACTCATTATTCTGAAAAAGTAGAGATAAAAATTGAAAAGATAAAAACAAGGAGACCTTGGCATGCGATGATGCACTTACATCGATAGGAATTGTACACTAAGAGTTAGAAATATATCATACTAGTATTTAGCACGGCATTTGACATTGAACGAAAGATCTTGTACACAAAAAATATAGTAAAAGATTCCACATTGAATTCTATAGGATTAAACGGTATGTAAATTACTATTTCACAACTAAAATATTAGCGGCCGATTATGGTAAGGCCATTAAGGATTGAACCAAACGTAAAATGGTATATCTGTTCTCTAAATGCCAAACATTGTTTTACTGTATTACAAAACACCGCTTTTATCAAATTTCAATATTGTTTTTATTATTTTATTTCAGGAGTAATTCAGTCAAGTAAAAACTCTATGGAAAAATGGAGCAAACAGATTTTACACGTCTGGGTACCAAACAAACACACCGCTAACACGATTACCAAGGTCTACAACCAGCTGTCTGCTAATATCCGCTCTAACACTATCGTCATGGTAACCAGGTCATCTTGTTCATCATATATTTATACGAATGGATGACAACACACAACGAGCTTCCAAGAAGAGTATAAGCAACCAAATTATCACAAGCTAGCTCTCTTTGCCGTGTTTATGAATTGAGTTAATCACTGATTTAGTGAAACTCGGAAACAAAGAAGAACTTGGCTCGGTATGTAGCATTCACCAACCGAATCATTCGACCTCCGAAAAGAAGTTTTATGTCGGATTTGAAAAAAAAGTCACCAATAAGTATTACGGGGTGACATGAACGAATTCTCAATCCTAACGTTAATGAAAAATACATGACATGTATCATTGTAACATTGATTTATTGAATATAAATAAAAGATCATTTTGGGAATATATTTGTCTGTATGTAAGATACAATAACATAGAAGAGAATCTGGATTGAGGGGTCTTGATTTCTGTATTCTTTATTTTTTTGCCACTTTTCTATATTCTTTATTTATTTTGCCCGTTATTCTCTTCTCTCTATATTTTAGCACCCTATTATTCTATATTCTCTTTTTTTTTTGTAAAGTTTTCTCTATTCCTTGTTTTTTGGCCCATTTTTTCTGTACTAATGGTCCATTATTCTCTATTCTATAAACCCCCACCGGACTCTCATATAGCTGCAAGATAATATTTTCTTTGCAATTCTGATAAACTTTTATTTGGTTCTCTTTCAAAGAATTATGGTTAATTTGATGGCATAATAATGTATAGTTGATAGAAAACTGAAGCTAGAATATAATACACTAGACTCAAGCTGGAAGCAACTTTACACAGTAAAACAAATAAAGAATACAAAACGGGTAACAGAAAGCATATTTAATATATATAAAAATGATGATGTGTATATATCAGCGAAAAGTTGTTTGAAAAATTATATGATCTTTAATCAAGTTTTAACTGTATCAATTTCACATATGGATACTTCATAGACGCCAACCTAACCCTAAGTGAAGCTGTTGATATAACATTTATATCCAACGAGTCACTGGAGAATGGCTTATCTTAAAGACTGGTTCCCTGTCCTTCATCTGTTTGGCTCTGACAGATATAACAAAGGTGACTAAGATACTCGTATGGTGCAAGGGAGAGGACCAACCTAGTCTATCTAAAACATCTTTCTATGCCCCCGCCGTAGCGGAGGGGGCATTAAGTTTTACCCTTGTCCGTCTGTACGTACGTACGTACGTCCGTACGTCCCAAAATTGGTTTCCGTTCTCTAACTTGAGTTTGCCTCAACCAAATGTTATGAAACTTATACACAATGCTTATTACTACAAAACACAGATCAAGTTTGAATTTTGGTGGCGTCACTTTAACCGTTCTAGGGTTATGCCCCTTTATAAATGGAAAAATTGCAAAATTTTTAGTTTCCGTTCTCTAACTTAAGTTTGCCTCAACCAATTGTTATGAAACTTATACACAATGCTTATTACCACAAAATACAGATCAAGTTTGAATTTTGGTGGCGTCACTCAAACCGTTCTAGAGTAATGCCCTTTATAAATGGAAAAATTGCAAAATTTTTAGTTTCCGTTCTCTAACTTAAGTTGCCTCAACCAAATGATATGAAACTTATACACAATGCTTATTACCACAAAACACTAATCAAGTTGAATTTTGGTGGCGTCACTTTAACCATTATCGAGTTATGCCCCTTTTTAAATAGAAAAATTGCAAAATTTTTAGTTTCCGTTCTGTAAGTTAGGTTTGCCCCAACCAAACATTATGAAACCTATACACAATACTTATTACCACAAAACTCGGATCAAGTACAAATTTTGGTAGTGTCACTTTTATCGTTCATGAGTTATATCCCTTTATAATGTTGTATGCAAGCGGGGGCATCATCTGTATCCATGGGGACACATTCTCCAATTATCTTAATTGTTTTAAAAGAGAGGGGAAAGGTACCAAAGGGATATTCAAACAATTAGGTCAAAAATAAAATCACAATGCCATGACTAAAAAAGGAAAAAAAAAGACCAACAGACAAACAGACGAATTAATAACAGTACACAAAACACAGCATAGAAAACTAAAGACTGAGCAACACATGCAACACGAACCCAACCAAATTCTGGGGGTGATCTCAGGTACTCCGGAAGGGTAAGCTTTAACATATAAAAAAACTTTACAAAATGTCACCTTAAAGTCAGACGTAAATGTTCCTCAGAAAAAAAAATAAAATGGCATGCGCGTTCTATGCGCATGTCAACAAAACCTTGAGTTATAATTCGAATAGGAATATGCCTTGTCGTGTGGCAAGGGTGTTAAAATGGATAATTTTGGTAAATATTTCAATCTCTGTCACTCCTTACATTAACAATTCAGATGAATGCGCCCATCTGCAAAAAAAAAAGGTTAATTTGTTATATTTGCCACTAATCATTAAGCAAACAATTAGTCAATGAATCATCCAAATGATCACCAAACATAATTCCCTTGCGATGTAAGTAAATGTTTGATATCGACCCAGTGCTCTGGACACGTGTTTCTAGAATACAAGTCTTTATCATCCCAAATGATATCTTCAAACAAATAAAAACAACTAGATTCGTTAGGTTATTTACTGCAATTTTTATCATGTTTATGGTTTTGTAGTATGAGGTGAAACTTGTCGGTACAACCATGTCAGTATAAATCCTTTCGGGTCTGTCTGCCTGGGTTTTCGTGCGCCGGTACGTTTATAATCTGTTAAGATCTGTTAAGGATGAATATCATTAGTATAGATGGTACTCAAAATTTATATGATATTTTCGCATTTTTCAGTACGATCCTCTCTTGTAGTTGCCGAAGGACGTCACCCGTCAATCAATCATTGTATCACAAACTAAGTATGATCCCCGATTTCCCTCGAGTTATGTGAGATCCCGCCACTAATCATTTTACCGACCATCTTAATATGCTTCTGTGGTTACTGGTCTATTTTTAGTTCATTCAACTGTCTCCTAGCTAAACAAAGAAATTCTGCATCATTTAACTTTTCTTCTGATCTGGCCTGATTACCGATTGTGCAGTATGAACAATTGAATAAGAAGAAACAAAAAAGGTATTAATGATTTTAAAATTTATAACAAATTATTGTTCAGCTGGCGTAGTCAAGTGGATACTTCGTCACCCGATTAGCTCAGTCGGCAGAGCATGAGACTTTTCATATCTCAGGTCGTGGGTTCGAGTCCCACTCAGGGCATGCGATTTTGATTGTTTCCATTGACACAGTCCAGCTTTTTGAGACAATGCGTAGATACTCTGTCGAATGAAAACAATGCATTTACGTACATCAGTCCAATCATGGAAGTAAAATGAAATATAATACGTCGGACATGGTCCAATCAATGTGAATCGTCATGGACTTGTATGAATTAAGTATTTGCAACAAACATTCAATAAAAAAAGGTGAAATGAGAGCCGAAAACAGTGTATTTATTCACATTTATTTCTGCGGAACAAAAATAAAGATATATGATTCTATTAAACTTGTAAGATTAGAAGTAGTGTGACTGTCGTCAATAAGTAGTTTCAATTTATGAATGTATGAAATGCATGATTCTTTAAAATCGAGGTAGCCCATTATGTAATAGAAATCTTTCCAAACAAATATATTCTTTTGTTCCTTTCGGAGCTATGAAATTTATATATTTTTTATACTTTTTGTCCATTATTCTCTATTCTTTAGATTTTAGCACCTCATTATTCTCTATTCTCTTTTTATTTTATTTTTTCATTTTTCTCTATTCTTTTTAATTTTTGCCCATTATCCTCTATTCTGTACACCCCCATCCACACCCTCTTAAATTATATGTTCAGTTTACTGTTGTCAGTAAACAAAGTCACAGATATATCTTTGCATGAAGTTTCATCATACATTCCTGAATTGATATATTAAAACTACTTCTATTTATATATACTTTTTCTTAAGATTAACCTTGAATTTGATTTGTTTTATTTGACATTACTTTTAATCCGAATATTTTCAAATGTTTAAACAATTGTTTTTATCAGGTAATATAATAACGAGATATATTTCAAAACGAAACAAGATTGTGATGAAGAATTTGAATATGCAGAGTTACCCAAAAGACAAACAATAGCTGTAAAACTGTATACGATTCTCCGACGACTTTTGTGCAAATTGTATTACGGAATATGGGAAGGTCGTCGTTGCTGGTGCACAAAAAATTGGAAATTGTGACATGAAAAATATAAAAACCAGAAAACTGAAGAGAAAATCATACATATGTACCTTGGAGACAATTTTTACTCAAGACTTCAATGCAGGTTTCCGACAGACAGAGTTTTGTTTCAAGATTTAAATGCCAATGGGATAATATTTTCGGAATTCTTCTTTACGGTAAAATGAAGTTTTCCAAAGAGACAAATCACGTGAAGTTCGCGAATTAATTTGGATAAAAAGACTTCAAACAGCTTATCCTCTCGGTCTCAATGACAAAATATTAGGAAAGGGGAACATATCTAAAACGTCTATCGATGTCAGTAATATTGTTGATAAACGACTTAGAAATAATAGGTCTCATGGTAAACGCAAAAACCGTAATCAACGTATTAAACATCGTATAAATTATACACTTGCTGATCTGTTATCTATAATAAAAAAATAATGGCAGACATCAAGTATTATGCAAACTGGGTCGGATACCAATAAGTAAATTATATGCTATTTTTCTGGAGTGTGATAAAATTTCTTTTTGAGCCCGTTTTATGAATACACCCGTATTATTACAGCCTTTTGTCATCACAGGCTGTTTCCTAGTATCGATAAACCTGAAAATCATAAACGACATTTTTTTAAATTAAAATATATAAATAGAGGTATTGATTTTATAAACTTATCTAGCATATTCAATGACTCTTCCGTCTATAGCCAAATACCTCCATATTTTGATAATACAGAACCACCCATTATTTCGTATTCTTATAAAAAACCGAGCAGAATTTTGATTTTTAATTATACGTCAGTTACATCAGACGTCAATATAGAAAGTAATGTTCCTTCCACTTGAGACTGTGAAACATCTAATTTTAGATATGTTCCCTATGGTCATGTTATTACAGAGACCTCAACATCGTCGAAGACCATGAGGTCAAAACTTTTCCAAAGAAAGGACCGAAATATCGTCCTCCATCTATAATGGATTGGAAACAGTGTCGTCAGGTCATTAAAGACGCTCTGTCTGCCTACTGTAAAAATTGGTGCAAACGTGAAAAATCTGATAAAAAATCTCTAGACAGTTATTTGAATAAAATTATGAAAACTGTTAATATTCGAATATCTCATTTTGAAAACAATTCTGAAATTAATAATAGGGTCCATGATATTCCCATTTC